CCTGAGGTGTCTGTAGTATCCCATGCTCTTCCTTTCTGCATTGTTACACAACTCAGTAATGTGCATCTGTTTGGAGACCTCAAGGCTTTTTTCTGCCACCCAAGACTAAGGGAATATTTCCGTGACAGGTTGTTCACTGCCTGACTCCTTATCACAGGCCTGAGCCATGCACAGGACCAGAAGGAGAGCAGGTCCTGGATTGCACCTGAGGACCATAGCTCCACTCTGCATCTGGACACAAACTGTTTGTGCCTCTACACCTGCTCTAAGATTACCAAAAAACACTACTTATTACATTACCACTTCAGGCCCACAAAATGGAGAGCCATACTCAGTCCTAAAAACAACAATGATACCATCATACAGCAGGCTGATAAAGAGAATGCCACAGTTATCATGGACAAAACGGCATACATATAGGAATTGCCCCTCTGCTTAGGGTCAGACCAGTCGCCATATTTGGAGTCCAGAAGGAATTTTACCTCATTCTTACATTAGTACAGACTGTGGGAGTTTTGGGTTTCCTCTGCATTGGCGGGTGGGGAGGAGGGGGGTGTGACCCTCTTCCTTGGATCTCTCAAGTGTATTTTAATAGCTTTTGCAGCAGCAAGACATTGGCTGTCATTCTCCTGCCTTACCTGTGGCAGGTTAGGGTGTTATGCTTTGCAGTTGTGTCAGGGTTGACTGTAATTTTATTAATAGGTTAGACAATGGATTTGTATAAAATAGTTTGCATGGGAATGATGTCTCTGGCAGGGGTTTGGACTAGATGACTGCTGAAGGTGCCTTCCGGCCCTACTTTTCTATAATTTGTTTCTGTGACCTCATCATATGGATGCATAGGAAGGAATCTCTATAGAGAAATTCCACTTGGACTTTAACAACATTCACCTCTCCATCGAAGTGACTGTGCAGTACTCCTCCTAGCAAATTCAGTTCTTTGACACCACTGTGAAAGTTTCATTAGTTTATGTCACCACCACATTGTTTTGGAAACCAACTGACCACTACAGTTACCTCTATGCCAGTACTTCTCATCCTGAGCACACTACTAGATCCATCATCTACAGCCAAGCTCCACATTACAATGGGATGCAGACCCTAAGGATCTGGAGCAGGGATTCTTACAATTTCAATACAATCCTAAATCAACAGAGCCAGGGTTGGAGCCCATATAGCCACCCAAATCTACAGAGCCAAGTTTGGACCCCGTTCAGTCCTGCTACAATACCAGCCTCAAGACAAGAGAAACAGGATCCCATTGGTTGTCATCTACAGCCCCCAGCTTGAACACCTCGGATACATAAATAATGATCTGTAATCCCGCCTGCAAAATGACAAGCAGCTCCAGGTAACTATGGGGGACGTACCTATCCTGACTTAAAGGCAGCCCGTTATAACTCCTAAATGGCATATCTCCAGGAACAGACTGCCTAACTCCTTTTCTCACTAAGGTACCAGATCTTGCTCCAGACCCAGATGCCAGGTTTGGCATGATGAGGTGTATGCCATCACCTGCTTACAGTGCCCCTCTGCTGCCTGCTTTGGGCTGATGGCGTGATCCCTACGTGTAAGAGTGAATGAATGCCAGTCTGACACCAGTACCAGAAAGACGAACAAACCTATGGCAGAGCACTTTAACCTTCCTGAACATTCCAGCTCAGACCTTGGACTGGATGTTTTTAGGTAGCAAAACTTTAAAAATGAACTGAAACGGGAAATTGTGGAACAAGAAATCATCCACAGACTGGACTGTGTTATGCATGGTTTAACCCGTGGTCCTCAACCTTTCTAGACTAAAGGCATCCCTTGGGAAATACCAGCTCTTAATTCTCACTTGTTCTATTATTTTTCTGTAGTTAAAAAAAAAAAACAAAACAATTCCTTTGCTGCAGAGAACTCAGACCATAACAGGTCAGAATGAAATGTCTGCATTTATCTTGTGTATCACATTTGCGCACCTAACAGTGCAAGCACTGTGCAGCACCCCATGCCGTGACACCCTGTTTGAAAATCAGTGGTTTAAACTGAAACTCTGGTGTGGTACAGTTTGGAGTTGGGACTGGCTTCAGTGCTGTGCTGGTGTCACTTCCAGCTCCCCACATTTCACCGGGGCCTTGAACCAGTTCAGGGCTGAGATTGAAAAATCAGCTGATTTTTCAATCTCAAGACTGGGGTTGCACCGAGCTGATTCAAGACTCAAAGTGCTATGACTTGTATTAAAGTGCAGCTGCTCAGAACATAAAAATTGCTGTTTTCTGGGTCAGATCATAGGTCCATCTCTCATAGTATGCTGTTACAGGGGCAGAGAGTGGATGCTGAAAGGGGGATTGAACTGAGTATGACCAGGGTTTTTTTTCCACTGTGGTTACTGTGCAAGTACTAAATGACTGTGCAATAACATCTGCGCAGGCAGGCACACACAGATGCACCCAATGGGGAGTTTTAAGGCATTTGCTTCATGTTCAAGGGTCTGGATAGTATACCTGACTTCTGATGCCTGACTCCTGCCAAAATGAACACTTTGTAGAAATAAAAGGAAAAAAAACAAAGTTGTGGTAGCAATGTTGGACACATCAGATTTTTCACCCTTTCAATATAAGGAATGTAAGTTTCTTGCACAAGTTTTGCAAAAGGCATCTAAGGGTATGGGCACATGAATGCTTAGACCCTTTTCAAAAGGTCGGCAGGTGATGCATTCTGTTTTTTTACACGAGCTGAGAAGAATCCAAACGCAGCAAACCGTCTCCAACTTCAACCCTGGATGAAGGAATGTTAAAGTTTGAACTTTTGGATCTTTCTCAGTTCTGGCTCCCTGTGACACCTTTGGAAGGCACTCAAATCTGTGAATCTGTCAAAACACCCTTGTGGAGAATCACTGTCCTAAGGGGATCTCCATGGGAAGAAATGTAGTAAGAAACATGTGAACAGAATACAAGTGGAGTAAAGTGGACAAAAGACTACAAGTGGAAGTTGCACAGAAAAATAAATGGAAATATCCCTCAGCAAAAGCTTTTAGGCATCACAAGGTTTATTTTGCATTGAGTCAGTTTCTTCAATAATATCAAATATATCTTTATTGAACTTTTAATAAATTGTTTCATAGACAAATTGAATACATCTTAAAGAGAAACTGACACCAAATCATCTTCCAGTAAATTGATTTAATGGGATAGTCATAGTTAATATACATCACAATGATCATCACATTTTAAAGCAAAATGACACTTGTTTCACAGTTCTATAGATAGTCTGGGGTTTAGTCTCTTATTAAATATGGATAATATATGTTAGAATTTCTAATGTTTGAAAAATATTAAGGTACTCTAGAAGTTTTAATTTTAATAATTATTCATGGAATGGATGATCTCTTGAGTAACAAGCAAAATAATGCATTAAAGTCCTTTACATGGGACACTCATCTCTGTTTGATTATAGCACAAATGCTTCAGACTAGCACAAAGGTTATATCTGCATATCTTTTTGTTTTTAATACATATTTTTGTCTCAGGCTAAGAATATTTAATAGAAAATGTTTAGAATTCTAAAGAAAATTTTATTAAAATTTAGAAATCTAAAAGTAAAAACATCTAAAGATCTTTTAAAGCCAGATTTAAATTCACTTGCTTATATATTTTTCTGGTAGGACAGAGCAACCATATGACCCAGTAAGCAAAACATGTTAGTCTTAGCCATGTAAATAATTGCCCTAACTTCAACTATCTAGGTTGAAAATACTTTTATCTGTTCATTCACCCTTTGATATGTTGATGTTGATAATGGAAAAAGTTAATAATTTTGATGCTTAATACTGACGTTTTTAAGATGTTGGTAATTTTTAACAACTTAATCATTTGAGCCATTTGAAATTAGATACCAATTTTGTAGAGGTGTACCAATACATTGATTCATATCATATCGATAAAAAAGAAAATTGACATTATTGGCAATCAGAATTGTTTGGCTGATGTGGCCAATAATGTCACTGATGAATGCTGTGTGCAACCGCACAGCTGCAGCATGCACACAGCTAGGAGTACAGCCCAGCAATGTAGAGAGCAGTGTCCAGCCAGTAGGTCTGCTGGGGGTGGGAATCAAGGCCCCCGCAGTGAGGGAGAGAGTGAGGCTGGGGCTGGGTTAGGCACTGCTTAGCCAGGGTCGGGCAGGACATGGCACAGAGCCACAATTCATCAGGCGGAGGTGGGGGGGAGGCTCCTGTCGCTGCATGCACTTGTGGGGGAGGCATGGAAAGGTATGTGCTGCCTGGATTTGTGCATGGGGTGAGGGTAGGCTGCTGCTGCATGCTTAGGGCCAGGGCTGTGCTGTGCTCTTCTTGGCAGCAGCTGTGGTTGGGGTAGGTGGGGGTGGAGTGGGCAGCAGTGGCCCCGGGAAAGGGTGTACAGTGGGGGCTGTGGCAAACTTTGGGGTGTCTGCACCCCCCCTCCCCCCCCCACATAGCTCCCCTATCCCAGCATTGCTGCCACCCAGCCCGAGCATAGCCTCAGTCCAGCCCCTTTCTTCCCTGCAGGGAAGAGCCCAGTACAGCCTCTGGCCCCGAGTGCGTAGCAGCAGCCCACCCTCGCCCCGTGCGCACATCCAGGAGGCACGTGCCCCCCCACATTCCTCCCCCAGGGGTGTGTGCAACAGCGGGAGCTGCCCCGTGCTCCTTCTGGACTAACCGTGGCTATGTCCCGCACCCTGGCTGGGCAGCTCCTGCCCTTGCCCCAGCCCTAGCCCCACTCCCTCACTAGGGGCCTCGATGTGCCCTCCCCCCCGCCCCTTCCTCCCAACAGGCTTACTGGCCAGATGCTGCTCTCCAAGCTGCCAGGCTGCGTATTGGCAATTAGATCGGGATCAGCCAATATGGTGGGTTGATAATCAGCCATTGATATCAGCCCAAAATACCTTTTATCAGTGCACCCCTGCAATTTTGCAGTGGTAGCAATGTTCTTATTGTCTTTGTGATCATTGAAACTAAATCCCTACTATTTTTAACCTAGGTGACTGTGGAGACCATGTTGTCATAATAAATACAAGGCACATTGCTTTTTCCGGGAATAAATGGGAACAGAAGGTGTATACTTCACATTCTGGGTAAGTGCTCCATCATTTCACAGTAAGTCTTTGAAGAAGTTAATAGTATGAATTGATTCTGCAGCCAGTTTTGGTTTTGTACTTAATTTTTTTCCCATAAAATATCAGTTCAAAAGGAGACTTGTTTTTGAATATGCTTGGTTTTTTTGTGTGTTTAAGAATGAAGTTTATGTCTGTATCATCTTTGGAGTGATCTTGTAAATACTACCTTAAAAATAAGCTCTGCCTGTTGTGTCTGTTTGTCTCTAATCCCAAACTTGCAAATTGAGCAAAATAAATGGACACACATCATGATCATGCCTGCCTGCAGCACCATACTGGGGCTCTCCACATACTCTGGACTGTTCAGGCACCTACCCCAAGTATATATTCTGACTAATATACAGGCCTAGGCATGCTTGAGTGGGTAGGGCTACTGGGCTCACTCCAGAGGCCCTTCAGAGAGATTTAAGACATAGCGTTGAAAGGTGTTTTTTTTTCCTGGCATAACGTGCATCACTAGGGAAATAATATGCGATCTACGGTGTCAGAAGCAGGCATAAATTACATTTATCTAAGAAAACTTTATTATTGGATGGAGATGAAGCCAAAGATGAGGTTATTTTTGCTAAAGAGTAGTTTATTTTGTTTAAAACGTCAAGGAAGCTAACCAAAACCATTATTTTAAGAGGACCGTGGAAATTAACTTGAGTTATGTTAGCAGATCAAAGGGCAAATAAGATTATGAGATCAACGTTTTGCCTCAAGCAATGAGAAACTGAATAGAAAGATAATGCAGGCACTTAGTGTTAACAAGATTGTGCCTGGGTGATTTAAACCTCTTTTAAAATCACTGAGGAAATCACTGAAAAATGAGGTTCTATCAAGAAAGAATTGATAATATGTTGTCATTAATGTTATTTCCCAAGCTTCTGGTATGAAGCCTCGGGCATGAGAATTACCACAGTCAATGAAAGCTAGTAAAAACAGTTGCTCCTATATTTGTAATGTGACCACACTAGTTGATTAATTAAAATATCTATTAAAATAGATCCATTGGGGAACAATGCATACATGTCTGTAGGAAAAGTAAAAATGGCAGCAGGAACGGAAGTAAGTTATAGAAATAAATTGAGGCTGTTTGAATAAAAGAATATATATAATACATTTCATGTATTCTTTTAATGGTGTATTAACAGTTTTGGAATTTCCAGTCCTGAGGAATTCAGGAGGTATTAATGAGAGGCTGATTCAGAGCCCATGGACATAGAAAGCCCCAAAATCATTCACTTCATTGGGCTTTTGATCAGTAGTGAAGACAGACGAATGAATTTGTAGAACGTAAAAATACTAGTATTCAAATATTCAAAGTAGTAGCTTTGAAAAGAGAACCAAGGAAAATAAGTTAAAAGATGTTAACGTGTAATTAGAGAGTTCTTATGTCTTAGAAGACTAGAATCAAACAAATATGGGTCATGGATAAGAGAACTTGTTCTGAAAATATTAAGCCTCTCAGCTTCATATAGATCCTAGAAGCAACATAAACAGAAGGGAAAAAGAAACTTACATGTTAGATGGAATAAGAGTTACATTTGTTGAGGGCTGAATTTGAGAGGGTGAACCCCCACTTTTTTATTGGGCCCAGAAAGGTGTGAACAAAAGGGTGAAGCTAGCCAGGCTGACCAGAGGGGCCAGGCAAGGAAAGCTTGAGCCTGCCCTTAGTTTCTTTTCTTATCACACCTGGAGCCTAAGCTTGCCCTTATGTGCTTATCTTCTCACGCTTCCTGTCACCCTGGTTGAGAACCACTGGCATAACTACTGAGTGCATATTAGTGAAGTCTTGCACCTGTGCAATTGTGTGTTTGCATGCTATATCTCATATACAACTCTCCAGCTTAGGCCAGGGGTTGGCAGTTTACAGGCTAGATTTGGCCTGCAGCAGCTCAGAAGGGGAGCAGCTGCCTGGGTGGCAGAGGCGGCACCTCCTGAGTCCTACAGCCCACCATGCTCTGTCTGTTCCCCCTGCGGTGTCTGTAGGCCCCCAGCCCTCTCTGTTCCAACGGCACTGCCATATTTAATCCTGCCTTCACCCTTGGTCACTTGAATCAGTGGCAAAGGTAAGTGCAGGTGGCTTGGGTAGCATAGCGGTAGAGATTTGCAGCCCATGACAGAGTTCCTGGTTGTAACCAATAGCCTGGGGCAGCAAGGGATTGCCAACTCCTGGCTTAAGGCATCGGGGAAGGGAGAAATCCAGATCTGGGTCTCTCTTTAAAAAGAAGATGAACCCTGACTTGCTTTTAGAACCCAAGGATGCGTTCAGGACTGTGAATCCCAAGTGGAAGGAAGTGCTGTCTGACAACCCTGAGTTGGGTAGTCCAGTCTGATGCCTTAAGACATCTTAACCTACCCTTAGCGTTCCATGCAAAATAGCTTGTGCTCTTCCTTGCCTGTTATGCTGGCTTTTGTTAATCACTTTCTGAGGTATAACTTCATCCCCACACATAGGGAACCCAGCCACCTAACCCAGGACTAAATTCTTCACTAGGGGCCAGGAGTCTAAAAGCTGGCTATTGTAATGTTGAACTAAGTCCTTTTGTAGATTCCTACATTCTGAAGCCACTTTTACAACTATGCTTTAGGTTTCAAGGTCACTTAAATGCTTAAGAATTTTTTCCTTTTTTTTCCAAGACTAGAATCCATTTGCACTAATCAATAATGTTTATAATTATGAATAAATGCAATGTTATCTTGAACCAAAGCTTTTATCATAAAATTGTGTGAAATGAATGGTTTTAAGTTCTCAATGCTCTAAACCCAGGGAGTGGCAACATTTGGCCTGTGGGCCAGTTGTGGATCTGGTCTACAGAATCATGGGGCTTTGGCTGTACCTGTGCCTATACTGGGACTGAGTAGCAAGAAGCTGTGCATGCAGGGGAGCTGAAAGCTGTACCTGTGCCACTGCTGCTTTTCTCCCTCTGCCCCACCTTCCCCAAGGCTGTGGCACAGGTACAGCTTCCACCTGGAGGGGAGCTGCACGAGGACTGGGCTGGGGTAAGGAGTGGGAAGGAAAAGCAGGGACAGGGAGAGAACTCCTAGCTGCGTGGCTCTGGGGGCGTGAAGAAGGCCCCCTAGCCACCCCCACTGACACTGATGTGCCTCTGAACCCACTCTGCACTGGACTGGGGCTGGGTTGTTCCAGCTCGCTGGTATTAAAAAAAAAAAAAAAAAAAAAAAAAGGTTGCTGGCCCTCACTCTAAACCATACAAAATTTAATAACACCTCTTTCTTTTATGAATTTTTGTCTAAAAATGTATTCCTGATTTGTCCAAGTTACAAAGCTTTGAAAATAAATGTTGTAAAAGAAAACTGTTGACAGACCTTTAAACTAGGGTTGGGTATTTGATTGGTCAAAGTTTGGTCAACTGACCAGTCAAATATTGGCCAAAAATTGCCAAATATGGTCCAATATATATTTTTTATTTATATTAAAAATTTCTTACATAATGTTAAAATAAATTTTTATTTCACAATTAAATCATTTGCAAAATACTAAGCACTGAAAAAGCACAATTTTTCCATTAAGAAATGTGTCAAGAAAAGATTAAAAACAAATCCACCGTGCTGCACTGCTTGCCAAGGGCCTGGCTATGGGCAGCCCGGGGCCACTTGCGCAGGGAGCTGCCCCACAGCAAGGAGCCCCAGGCCTCTGCAGCTCATCCCCCACGCAGCCTCTGCACCCCAGCCCTCCATAGTAGGTATGTGCTATCAGTTAAACAGTTAATCAGTATAATTAAAAGAGTTTTTAAATGTCTAATTTTTTATTATATTTGTATCCCTAGTTGCTCTAATCACAGAAAGTATTCCAATAATATTTGACTGATCTTTGACTGGTCAAAAATATGTAGCCATTTGACAATATTTGACTTTCCATTGACTGGCTTGCCAACCCTACCTTAAACTCAATGCTGTGTTAGTGGATGCTGCTGTTAATACTTTTTAGTCACCATTGTCTGTGAGGTCATGTAAAAATAATTGTTTGAAGATGGAATAAAGAAAAGATTTCATAGAAGCTTATAAAATTAAAAAAAACACGTGTAGCTATCATTTTGTTGTCATAATCACTTAGATTGTAGGGCAAGGTGGAAGAAAGGAGGAAAAAGTCAATTCAGAACAGAAGCTAGAAACTAATTTCCTCACTTGAAGAAAATCATTGTAAGGAAAATGTTTACCAAACAAAGTTGTAGAGGGAAAAATTTGGGGATTATTATTGTAACAGAGAGAAGAGGAAAATGTACCAGAAAATAATTACAAGGAGGAATGAAGTTTAGAAGGAAAAAAATATAATTATCCATTAATATTCTTCCATAATGTTTAGGTTTCTAAATATTAAAGAAATGTGTTCTCTTAATTACTTAAAAAGATTGCATACCACGTTTCAGCACTGTGCCAGGACCTTGGCTCCAGTTTAGTAAGGTGCTTTGGCATGTGTCTAACCTAGACAGTATGAAAAGCCCATCGGGCTTAGGCAGAGCTCAGTACCTTGCTGAATCAGGCCCCATGTACAGTAACTACCTTAGGTGTGCAGTTGAAAGATTATAGATGCTAATATACACTGGCTGTATCCCATAACACTAGGCTGACCTTAGACTGACCTTCCCCGTCCTTCAACTATAACAGAATTTGGATTTCATAGATTTTAATCATATTTACCCTCTACACCGTTGCTTCCTTTTTTTTTTCTTTTTTGCAGTATGTCACAGTATGGTAAGTGTCCCATGTGTTATTCTGTGGACAAAACATGAAGAACAGACTAACAAGCAACAAAGGCTGCTGACAGACATGGAAAAAACCAAACAAGCCCAAAAACAGCGCTTTACCAGAAGAAGCAGCATGTTAGTTTCATCTGGCTCCCCAGTGTCTGCATAGATTGGGCATTTCAGCGGGGCTTTTTGGCACTTCTGTCTAATAGCTGATTGAATCCCCCAAAAAACCCACTGAAGCACCTGATCTATACAGACATTGGGTGAGCTGGGTCAAACTAACATGATGCCTTTTCTGGGCATTTGCTACACTCGGTGCAGAGGTGTGCCAAGCTTAAAGTAAAGCTCTTTTTGTTTTTTCCATGTCTGTAAGTGGCCAAAGATAATAGTCTAGCCCAACATATATATATAAGCCACTGACTGGCTAACAGTTGAATTCATAATAGTTCTTCATATTTTATTCTATTTTGTGTAGTGTAGTTGTGGTTGTGTCAGTATATAATATATTAATAAACTGTCTAAAACAGAGGTGTCAAACATATGACTCATGAGCTGGATCTGGCCCGTAGAGCCCCACCATCCATCTGTCACCACCATTCTGCCCCCTGGGTCTGACCAGACCCACACAGGGCCTGGTACGTGCCTGTGGCATGGAGGCAAGATCTGACCCACAGACCCCTTCCCCTTCCCTTCCCCCAGCATACCTGATCTGGCACCTACTCCATCTGTCCTGGGACCTTCCCAGCATGAGGCACAGATCCCAGAGTAGCCAGAATGGGTACAGTCTGGCTAGAGGAGCAGCCATGCTGCACATGGTGGTTGCACCAGCTGGACTGCAATGCATGCAGTGCTTGCTCTGGGATGTGCTCCACCACAGCACATGCTCGAGCCAGTCTGGGACCACACTGCAAAAAGCACTCAGGCACCATGTGCATCGTGCATCCCAGACTTTGCACATGTGGCACAGCCCTGGAGCTGCTGGAGTGAGTGCCATGTGTGTCGCAGTCTGGCTCAAGTGGCCACATGTGCAGTGCGGCTGCTGCTGTGGCCAAACTAGTACCCATTCCAGCTGCTCCCAGGCTGGCTGGAGAAGCCACGAGATCTGGTATATTGGGAAGGGGAGGAAGGTCCATGGGCCTGGTCCCATGTACAGACCAGCCCTGCACCAGTAATTCAGCCCATGGGGCGAAAAGAGTTTGACACACCTGGTATACAACAAGTTGTGGGTTTTGGGGTGGTTTTTTTTTTTTTTTTCAAGGGCATCACTTCAGTACCCAAGTGAATATATAGGCCTATGGCAAAATGGAATGTTTCCATTTTATAAAAAATATATTCCCCTCATGAGAAGCATTTCCTTTACTTGTGGCTTTATAGGAAGGCATATGATATAGTTTTCTTAAAGATTCAGTGCTTTCTACTGTAAACACTGGCTGTATTAATGAAAGCATAAAATCTTAAGTTAGTTTCTTTTGTATTTTAGTTATCCTGGAGGCTTCAAACAAGTGACAGCGGCTCAACTTCACCAAAAGGATCCAACTGCAGTAAGTATTTCTGGTTCTCTCTTATGTTTTGTTTTGTTTTCATGTAGTTAGTTTCCTTTTAGGTTAGGGGATGTGTTTCATAATTGTGAACTTGTCCTTCTAATGGACAAAGAAATAGGGTTATAGCTTGGAACTGGGATCTTACAACAAAGATGTGAACCCTTCTATTCTGGGCCCTGACCTGCACTTCAGACAGCATGAGAAATTGGCTGTACATAAGAAATAATTTACCATCAGAACTCCCTGTTTTAGGTACAGAGCTGTACAGTTTGGAGGGAATTACACTGGAGGGTCAAATTGACTTACCCCAACAGAAATCAATTAGGTGATAACCATTGTGAAACTAATGGATTCTTATTTGTTACATTAAATATGAAGATAATTTGCAACAATTTGAGGGACATTCCTTTGGCTTGTTATGTCTGAATAACACTGTGCTTTGAAGTTAAAACTGAAGAGTTGTTAGATCATGCACATATACTATTTGTATATTCAGTTTTAATGGCTAAATCAAGGTGTTAACTTGGCTCATTTTTACCGACTGACTTGCAAAGAAGATCAGACTTATGAAAAAAGTAATTGGTTGCCTCAAACTAGGCTCATCTAAGTTGTATGAGCCAGTTAATGGTCCTAGTCCTTTCTTAACAGCTAAAGGGAACAGTGATGATTTAAATGCAAGAAAATACATCTATGTTTCTGAAATTTGACAGTGCATTATAGTAATTGGTTTTTAGCTGCTTTCCTGTGCTATATATTCTACACATGGTGTATCAAAGAACTGAAAAATGTTTATTGTACGGAGGAATTACATCTGGATTTGATAGGTAATCAGGATATTACCCATGCTTGCTTGAATCCAAGACCCCCCCCCCCATTCAGCTCGTATACAAGCTGAGAACTGCTTGTCTTGGACATGAGTAATGCACTGGCAGGTAGCTCTTCTGGCTCTGGATTCAGAGCCACTGCCACCCAATGTAGCTGGTGACATGGTGTACAGCCTGGGGAAAGCATGAAGGAGACTGTATGGTGCAGGTGGGGAGCATGGAAGAGATCATGCCATGGTAGGGGAGCTGCTTCAGCTCTGGCTCCAGCTGTGACCCAGGCCCAAGGCTGGAGGTGAAGCCAAAGCCACTGCCACCTACCCCGAGCTAGAGCTGCTACCACCACTGGTGCTTGGCTGGGCCAGAGCCACAGCCATCATTGGTTCAAGCCTGGAGTAGCGGTACAGGTGACAGAGGGTCAGGAGGAGCAAGTAAGTAAGTGGAGAGGCAGGCAGCAGGGATCTGCTTTCCCTGGCGGGGGGGTGGCATTTACTGGGGTTATGTTTAGCCTTTCAGCAGTAGTCCCTAAGCTTAAAATCCTTATAGGCTGACCCAAATCACAGTAGAAAGATTGTGATTGACTTCAAAGGGCTACTTGCCTATCAGATATTTAAATTACTTCATTTTATCCACATCAGATTATGCATTTACTCTAAATACTGTTTGTTTTGAGAGACTACCTTGAAGCATTGGATTGTAAACCTGTTATACATCTCTTGATACCATTCTAGAAAAAAAGACTTGACTGCTTTTCGATATCTTCATCATATTGAATTAAGAACAAAAAATGGAATAAAACCAGATAATTTGCAATTATGTGCATGGATTTTTTTTCCTAAAAACAAATGGAATGTTTTTTAAAGGGGAGGCTGTACTATGGCTGTAATGATTTTTAGAAGTATTAGTTCCATGTCTAACATGGTTTCTACTTATATGACTTGTATTCGAGGTTTAGATGCCAGTAACTGTACACTGGGAGGCAGTATAACCTAACTTATTTTCTCGAACCAGAGAATTAGTATCTTTATAAAGTCCCTTCTGGCATTCATTCTGAATTTAAGATTCTCTTGCCAAACTCTCATGGATGAATTTCTCTGGGAACAAAGGTCAATTTAAATGCATTACAAATAGTTAAACCATGTTGGATAGAAACTCAACAAATGGTGATGTAGGTCAGAACATCATTTTATTTAATGACAGACTTTTTTGTAACAGCATGCTTGGGAATTAACTTTCACCCTGAGTGGTTAGATACCTTTCCAAGCAGACTCTCTGAAGCCTTGTTTTTGTCATGTTTGTATTTTACACTGATAGATGTGATACTTGGTTTGGTATACCAAGGCTAGAGACAGACATTACACACAAACCAGTTTAAGTGATCAGAAACTGGTTTAAACCTGTTACAGAACAGGCATTCGGTGCACATAAACCAGTTTCAAAATGGCCAAAACTGGTTTGAGATAACCCTGGTTGAATGTAGTATTAGACTTAACTGATTGAGCTCAAACCAGTTTATGCAATGTCTGTCCCAGACCCCTTCCTGGTTTAAGTTAAACCAGAGTCCTCCAACATCCCAGCATGCTCTCTGGTCTAGGCTGTGCTCTTTACTCCAGAGCAGGGCTGACACCACCCCTCTGCTCTCTAGCCCAAGCCGAGAGAGGCCGTAGCGAGATACTAGCTGGCATGGCCCCGTTAAGGCAAAGTGGGCAGGGAGGTAGTTCATTCTTCCCTCCTTTCCCACTTTCTTCACCACAGCCAGGGTCTGCCCATTTGTCAGGGAGCAGAGGGGAGGGGACTGTGGGAATTTCATAGATTTTATAGATTTCATAGACATCAGGGCTGGAAGGGACCTCAGAAGATCATCGAGTCCAGCCCCGTGCCCAAGGGGCAGAAAGTCAGCTGGGGTCATAGGATCCCAGCAAGCTAAGCATCCAAATTTCTCTTGAAGGCGTTCAGTGTTGGTTCTTGAACCACTTCCGGTGGCAAGCTATTCCAGACCTTGGGGGCTTAGACAGTGAAGAAATTCTTCCTTATGTCCAGCCTGAAACGGTCTTCCAGGAGTTTATAACCGTTCCACCTTGTCATCCCTTGAGGCACTCTGGTGAACAATCGTTCCCCCAGATCCTGGGGAACACCCCTGATAAACTTATAGGTAACCAAATGGACCGTGGGGCTGGCAGACTGATCACACACACCAGGCTAGGCTGCGCTTGCTGTCAGGGCTCAGCATCTGTGTCACTGAGCTGCACTTGCTGGGGGTGGCCCTGCCTCTGCAGCCCAGCCCAGCCCAGCCCCACCATGTGGCTGCCTCAGCCATGACTGAGTGAGGCCGGTCCGGGCCGTGGGGGCAGAGCCACCCCAGCAGCTGTGGCTCAGTTACAGCTGTGCTCTGGCTGGGCTGGGATGGGCTGCACCGCACAGAGCCCCTCTCCCCGCCCTGCAGGAGCGGGGGGGAGGGGGAAGAGGTTGCCCCCCTCCCCAGCACTGAACAGAGCCCCCCATCCCCACCCTGTGGGGACGAGGGGAGGACGAGAGGGTAGAGTCCCCCCTCCCCAGCATTGAACAGATCCCCCCCTCCCTGCCCCGCAGGGGGAGTAGGAGGGGAGAGGAGTGAGCGGAAGAGTCCCGCTCCCAGGCCAGGCAGCTTCGCAAGAGCCCCCTTCCCCACCCCACAGTGTCAGAGGGGGGAGGAGGGGAAAGACCCCCCACACAGACATACACCCCTGAGCCCCTTCTCCACCCCCTCTGGCAGTGGGGGAGAGGGAGGAGGGGGGAAAAGTTCCCTTCTGGGGCCAGGCAGCCCTGTGTGCTGGGATTGTCAGGGAGCCGCTGGGGCAGGCAGAGCTCTCCCCTCCTCCCCCAACACAGAGGTCTGGCCACGCTGCCTCTTCTCCCACCCTCCAAACCCTGCAGGCCAAAGTGGGGCTTTAAACCCCTTCTCAGTCTTACTCAGGCCTGCCCGGGTCTCCACCCCCACTTCCCAAGCTTAGCTTCCCTGTGGAAGGGAGTGGGGAGGGCTGCTCTAGCACCCCTGGGCTTCCAGCCTGAGCCCCTGCAGGAACGTCCCTGCGTTTCCAGAATGAAAAGGGAGCATCTATACAATTGCAAACCGATTCAATTTCTGCAGGTTATACTAACCTGCAAAGATTGAATCAATTCAGGCTTAGGCTTTTTGAATGTCTGTTCTTAGCCCTAATATACTGTATGTGTACTTTAGTCTTAAGGGTTATGCTGAGAAATTCAAATCATGCCAGCCAAAAACTCGGATTGCTTCTTAGCCAGACCTCAGAACTAGTACTCCCACATTATCATCTTTGACTGGGAAGTTGCCTTGGCACAGTCAGCCTTGCTCTGCTTGAAATGTTGTTCTCCCTTGACTTGCATGACTGTCTTGGTTCTTTTTTGACCTCTCTAATAATTCCTTTGTCCCATCTTTTGGATCCTCTTCATCCCCTTTCTACCTTTCTGAGAAGATCCCACAAGGCTCGGTTGCTAGCCCATTCATTCTCTTCTTAGCCTGTCTATCTGATGCATCTTCATCCCTGAGTAGCCACTGTCACAGTTGCAGCATAGTTCTTTACAATCTCCCTGACAAGCCTTCCCCTCGACTTCCTTTCCAATACAGCACCGATATTATATTTTCCATCAATGCCTTCTTTCTGGGTAATCTCATTTGCAGACACAAATTGAACTATCATCTTCATGCAAAAGATTCACAAACCTCCCTCAATTCCAGTCTGTCTTCCATCTGTACTAACACCTTGGTCTGTCTGTCTGTCTTATGCATCTTTATGGATCAGTAACCACTGTCACAGTTTCAGCATAGCAAGAACTGAGTTCTTTACAATCTCTCTGACAAGCCTTCCCGTCTACCTCCTTTCCCATACAGCACCGGTATCTTGCCAGTCACTGAAGCCTGTAATCTAGGTCTTGTTTTCAACTTTGACTTCTTTCCAGGCTGTGTCGGTCTCAAATTCTTTCTGCATGACCTCCCTGAATTACAACCTTTCCTGTCTATTTTCATAGTTAAATCTCATCTCGCATCTTGATTACTGCCACCTCTATTTCTGTGTCCTTGACATACTGATACCCATCCAAAATCCTGTTGCTGAGATCATATTTGTATCTTTTTTCTTGACCTTGTGTTTACATAGTTGCTGTTTACATCCCTATTCTGGCTTCCTCTTTCTGTTACCCCAACCAGAATTGTTTTCACTTCAAAGCCCTTCACAACCTATATGATGTCAACCTTTTTGCCTTT